TGCATTAGTGCAGTCTTCTGGACAGATGTAAATCTCGTTGAGGATTGTGTAGTAGTTTGAGTGTTGGACCAGGACTCTGGAATACCAGGGTTCCAATCCCTGCTCAGACATGAAAAACTACTGGATGCTCTTGGGCAAGTCACACTATCTCAGCTTGAAGAAGGCAACAGCAAACCTCATCTGAATAAATATTGCCCAGAAACCCCTATAATTGGTTTGTCAGAGTGAACTTAAAGACAATAACAATCTTGAACCCCTAATATCCACAGGTAAGAGTCTACATCACAGATGTAGTTATAAATGTGTTACTATACTCTCCTATTGATGGAGCCTAGAAAAGGCAATGTGATTCTAAGGGCACATCCAGACTGCTCATTTATTGCGGTAACTGCCGCAATAAAGAAGGGGCTGTCCAAATGATGTCCTGGACAATCCCGTATTAATTTGCTACAAACCAGGAAAACCCTGGTTTATAGCGAGTGAATTAGTGGATTTGTTCCGCGCCTTCTTGGAAGGCATGGGATAAACCCACTATTTCCGGTGTCTGGACTGCAGTCCACAGTTTTCCGGACTAAATTCGTCTAGAAAACTGTGGGAATATCCACCTCCCTTCCCAAAGCCCCTACCCTACTTTTAAAAGTAAAGAAAGCTTATCTGGTAGCCGCTCTCTGGGCACGTAGAAATGACAAGCCAGGAGAGTGGGGAGGGGTGATTTTTCTCCCTCCTTCCCCCCCCCCCCCACCCCACTCTCCTGGTGCGTCATTTCTATGCACTGGGAGAGTGGCTGCAGCAGTGTGCTAGAGGCCGGGTAAGTTTTATTTACTTTTAAAAGGGGGTGGGGGATTTGGGGGAGGAGGGAAGGTCCCCAGATGTTCTTCCAGGCAGAACATCTGGACACTAACCGGTGGGTGTAGACAGCTCCCCAGGAACATCCGCATTTTTAAAACGCAAATGATCCTGGGATAAAGGGCTGTCTGGAACCACCCTAGGCTGCATTAACAGGAGCATAGTGTCTAGATTGAGGGAAGTCAGAGTCCCATTCTTTTCTCCTTTGGTCAGATCTCACCAGGATAACTGCATCCAGATCTGGGCACCACAATTGAAGTTGAAACGAGTCCAGAGGAAGGTAACCAACATGATCAAAAGTTTGCTAACCAAGTTCTACAAGGAATGGTTGAGGGAACTGGGTATGTTTAGCTTGAAGAAGAGAAGGATGAGAGGGGACATGATAGCCTTGGGTAAGTATTTGAAAGGATACCACACTGAGGAGGTGTCAACTAGTTTTTTACTGCTCTAAAACACAGGACATGGAGCAATGGATTCAAATTGCAGGGAAACGTTTCCACCTAGGAAGAACATTCTGATGGGTAAGAGCTATTCAGCATTGGGATATGCTGACATAGAGTGCGGTGGAGTCTCCTTCTCTGGAAGCTTTTAGACAGAGGCAGAATGGCCATCTGTTGGGGGTTCTTTATATGTTCCTGTATGGTAGGGGATTGGACTGAATTACCCTTGTGGTCTCTTCCAATTCTATGATTCTGTGATTTTATTATTCTATATTATCCCACACCTGGTTCCACAACCTACCTTTATAACTTGAGGCAACCTAGCTCAGCAGCCAACAGTAGCACTGGGAAACAGAGTTCTATCCTACATAGTGCAGCAGGATATTCAAGCTAATTCCCAACAGCTACCTATTGTGTCATACAAAGGACTTCATCCCATGGTGCTTCTCCAAGCTTTTCTATACACTTAAAACATGGAGCGCTATGGAGCCCATTAGACCACGCAAGATCATTCTGTGGGTCACCTGTTTAAGTCCATGTGTAGAAATACAAGGATTTTAAAGACATTTAGGAATTGGCTCCAGATGGTTCCCTGCACATAGAGATGGGTGAAAATGCTGAAATTTAGGTGTGATGGGAATCATTTTCTTTTTTTTTTTGTGTTCCTTCTGTTTTGTGATGTTTTCCTGTGGGAGGTCCTTAAATGTGCCCCAAAGATACAGTTATTTCCATTGCTCTAAGGACAGCAGACAGGAGCTTACACTCTCCCGTGTGTTGGCAAGGCAAACAGATGATTTCTGTAGAAATGGGAGAAGGAAAACACTTGTGATGGGGTTAAGTAAGTTCTCCAGATCCTTTGGAAACAAACTGACATGAATCGCCATGCTAAGATGACAGTTTCCTTAGCTGTGACAGGGATCCTCCCTCTGACTGTTGTTCTGCAGCTCACAAACAAGAAGGTGCTCAAAGCATCATCCTGTTGTGCCCTGATCCCCAGAAGACAAAAACTTTGTTATTTGGTGCAACTGTTAAAGTAGGTTTGAGAGGACATTTGCAATTCTGGCAACAGTGCCATGCTCATAAACACAAATACGAAACAGTTGCAAATGTGTTAATTTAGTTTATACATTCATAACTGCTCAATAGGATGCCAGCCCTCACAAATCAAGGCTGCCAGATTTAACACTGGACAAGGCTTTGGCATATGAAATAATTGTGATTGAGGAATTTGTTTCCACTGTACTGTAGGGAGGAAACAGAATCTGAACATGCCAAAATTCTTGTTTTACTTTTGTTGAAGCCATTCAGCCATGTTACATTTCACTGACATAATGTTTATCTGGTACTTGTCCTCTTCTCACAACTACATTCAGCACTGTGCCAATGAGAACCAGAAAGGAGGGCCAAATGGCACCACCAGCATATCATCAGGGAATTTGGGCTTTTTTATATTCAGAATTGATTGATATTGACCAAATTATGTGGTGGTGGTGGTGGTGGTTCTTATTTTTACTGCATTCCTCTTTCGTTTCCTCCCTCTCCCTTTCTCTACCCACCCCCCTCCAATACACAAACAAATAAATATCAAAAAGCTAGGTTTTAATAGCATGTTTTAATGTTCATAGCTCCTTGAGTCTTATGTGTAATGTTTTGATGTAATCTATTCTGTGTCTTTTGCTGGCATTGAATGTTTGCCATATGTGTTGGAAACCACCCTGAGTCCCTTCAAGGAGATAGGACGGTCTATAAATTATTATTATTATTATTATTATTATTATTATTATTATTATTATTATTAGAAATACAACAAGACGAGTCCACAGCAAACAAGATCACTATGCTGGCTGTTGCATTGGATCACATGTCGGACACTTCCCAAGTGTCTAGGACTGTGTGATATATTGGCATATAATGTGTCCAGATCTGAGTAGGGTGGCCTTTTGCAGCTGGCAGATGGTAATTTTGTCAACGCCAGTTGCATTTAAGTGCAGGCCAAGGTCTTTAGACACTGCACCCAGTGTGCCAATCACCACTGGGACCACCTTTACTGGCTTGTGTCAGATTATTATTATTATTATTATTATTATTATTATTATTATTATTATTATTATTATTAGAAACACAACAAGATGAGTCTGCAGCAGACACTCTGCTGACTGTTGTATTGGATCACACGCCGGACACTTCACAAGTGTCTAGGACTGTGTGGTGTATCAGCAAATATTGTGTGCAGATTATTATTATTATTATTACTATTATTAGTTATCATTGCCCCTGAATTCCCTTTGAAAGAAAGAAAGGATTTTTAAAGTTACTAACCAGTAAACACTAGTGAGGGCTGCCACATACTGGCAATACAGTTAGACAAAGCTAAGTAGCTGTTTCAGGCGGAGGATTTAGAAAATCTTAACACCACCACCATCATCATCATCATTTTATCTCTATCCTGTTTTATCTTTCATAAAAAGAGACCCAAAGCAGCTATAACAATAAAAGAGATACAATGCAATAGATAGTATATTAATTCATTTATTATTTCATTGCTAGGATGGGGAAAAGTACTTGTGGAATTATCTTGTATTGTGTGTCTGAATAATTTGTCCAGCTTTGGATGCTATGCTCATTGAGTAATACATTTGCATTGGAGGGCAAGCACAATTTTCTCACTGCTTCCAAATATTACATGTCAATTAATGGTGTTATCTACAATTATTTAATATTAATGTGTTTATGACATCTGATTTTTAAAACAAGGAAATCGCAGACAGACAGTTGTTATTATTTTTATTGGCTAATATTTTTAATTTGTTGGCCATTATTTTGGGGAGCTGAAATGCTCTTACATCTTACCTTAATTAATTAAATGAGGTGGGTGGATTTTAAAACCCCATTAAAAACAGGGGTTCTTCAAAGAAGAGCAGAGTCCTGTGAAGTCTCATCTTTTAAAATAAAAATAGGAAAACTCATTTGTAAGAACAATTTTTCATATGTTGATTCCTATGACCAATACGGGAGGTTGAGAATATATAATAATAATAATAATAATAATAATAATAATAATAATAATAATACTTTATTTTTATACCGCTCTGTCTCCCCAAGGGGACTCAGAGCAGTTTCCAAGTAACATCATCAATACATACAGAGTAAACAACATAACCATAAGATTAACAAATCAATATAAGCATAAAAATTGTTGCCATAACACATACATATTAAAAGTAATCCTGCCTGTTCAAGGCAATTTAAAAAGAAGAGGATCATAAGGATAATAATGATTTTGTTTTTGTTTTTTTAGGGGGGGACAAATACTTTTCTGCATTATCTGTTGAGGGAAAAGATCAAACAATATTTTAACAACAGTGGAAAAAGCAAATAATGTTTCTTCAAATCAAAATTCCTGCCCAAAATAATCCCAAATCATGATGTGATGAAGGCTGCTAGAATTCTGCCCAATGTCTGATGGCCACCTGCCGTTTCCTTTGCCTGTTTATTTTTTCATATGTGTATGTGTGTGTCTGAGTGTGTGTACACACACACACACATTGTTGAGAGAGAGTGCATCCAGCTTTCAAACATGTATCAAACAGAACATTATGAACATAGAAGCAGGAATTGTGGTTTAAATCAACACCAAGAAGAGCCCTTTCCCAATGAAAGATAGATACTTACTTCCCATTATCCCTTTAACATAAAATCAACCCATTCCCTCACCTGTTGTCGCACTGGACACTGTTGGCCACTGCTGTTCAGGTCCTGGTCCTACGCGTAAGGCTCCTGCCTCATCCATGTGTACAGCACTAAACAAATTTACAAAGACATTAGATTATGCAAGCCTCACAAAATAGGACATTCACTCTTAATATGATGAGCACTGTCCTTTTGGCGCAGAAAGGCATAACTGCTCACACAAATTTTCTGTGATGTAAAAATATGGTTGAACCCTCTTCTGTTTCAGTCTGCAAATTCTGCAATACTGGACCTTTGTTACATGGTTGGATTCCACATCTTGATTCAGTGGCATCATGTTGCACAAGTGTTGCCTGTACAGAATGGTTTGTTTCCATTAATGAGATGTGGCGTGTCTAACATGGCTGGGAAGTCGCTAAATCCCAGCAGTGTTTATGCCTTACTGTTTAAGTAAATAATGAAACACTGTCCTGTCAGTTTCAAGAATCCTCCAACCTGCTAACATTAACCAAACTTATACAGGAAACAGTCTGCTGTAATTACAGTAACAGTGATTGCACCTTGTGCCTTTGGCAAGTCAAAAGGGAGAGCATCAGGGAGCATTCGACAGAATCTTTTTCTCATACATCATGTGGGGAATATTCTGCTGTGGATTAGTCTGGCAGACTGAGTTGCCACAAATTATTATATTGTGAATTCAAACGACAATAACAAAGAGATGGGTGCAATTAAAATAAATAAGTCAGAGGTTTTTACACTTTTTACCCATGTTTCCTGCTTTTCATTTATATGTTGACATTGCATGCATACCCACTTGATGTAGTTACTTCATGGTATATGAATAAAAATTGTTGTTTATTTAGTGTGTCTATTTTTGTTTGCACAGTAAACAATAAAGAAAGGAGATCTATTGCCTGCCGGCGGTTTGGAAGAAATGGTGATGAAAAGATGACTTTCATTGGTGATTATGAAAAATCAAGTAATGTTACAATAGTTGTAACCTTGAAGGAATGAGTTCGACAAAAAAACTGCTTTCATGAAATGTCAAATAAATAAGCAAGAATTGAATGTCTGAAAATGTTCTCCCCTTGCCCCCAAAATACTTCGGGAAAGTATTGCACATATCTTAGGGGCCATACCCACACTTTGAGCACCACTGAAATATGTATATGCATGTGCTTTGTAGGCTGTATAAAAAACTAAGTTCCAGAATCAAGTTGCTCTCTAGCATAGCATGGCAAAAATGATGTCAGTTCTATGCCAATGTTGTTTAAATAGAAATTAATATCTAGGCCCAATCATTTGCCTCTGTTAATTGAATATTATAAAACATCTCAAATATCCATACAATTCATTTCTAGCTGCCTTTTAAAGATGGCCCTACCATTTCTACTTGCAGACTGCCATATGGAACAAAACGCTTAGTTTATATATGACAGACCAGGAGGATTTCTGTTCTCAATCAGGCATAAAACTTTTTTTGAATGTTTTCCCACCAGCATTATAGTACGGAGGCTATCATCTGCCAATTGTCCGAGTTGCTCCTTCAGAATTCTGGGAAATGTAGTTCAGGATGGACCCTTTGCAATTCTCAGCTAGAGAGTCCTTGGCTTCCCTAAACTACATTTCCCAGAATTTGCAGGAGCAGATTGAACTTTTGGCAGATGATAACCACCGTTCCACAGTATAACACTGGTGGGAAAATATCCTAAGTCTGGTTTTGGCTGCCAGTATAGTTCATTCCCCTTCACCTATCCACATGGTTGTTGGAAAAATGCATAGCAGGTCCAATGGTAAAGACTACCATAATAATAATAATAATAATAATAATGATAATAAATTAAAGTAAGCATATGGAGACATATATTCATGTAGAATCAATTTTTGTTATGGATGAAGAAGATGGAAATTATGTAGACAAAGAAAGCACTTTAATGGGCTACAACAGTTCAATAGTTGAAGGAATTGATCATTATTAATTAATGTGGAGGAACGCAACCTGACTGCACAAAGATATTCTAATATGATGTACAATTCTTATTAAATCAAGTCTGAACAGACATGGCAGCTGCAGTTTCCAAAGAGCCTGATGCTCTCCTGTCAACTGTTTATAAGCTAGGCCACTGGGAAGTCAAAGCTCAAGCCAAAAAGACACTGTAATATTCTCATACAATTTCCATCCATATTGGCAAAAAAAAATATAAATGGGCAGGACATTATCCTGCCAGATTATGCTCATCAGGGTGAACTCAGAATGTTGTGTTGGAGGATTCCTGTTTAACACACATGATCAATGACTACAGGATAATTTTTGTCCTCCATACTATTTGGCATGTATGTGAAATTTCTGGGAGAGGTTTTCTGGAGTTTTGAGGTTGGATGTCACAAGTATACTGATGACACCCAACTCTATTTCTCCATTCCTTCCCATTCCAAGGGAGCTAGCTTTGTGTCAAAGTAGTCTCTGCTATTGGTAATGAACTGGATCAAAGCAAACAAACAGAAGTGGAATCCAGCAAGAAAGAGGCACTTCTGGTCAGTTGAATGGAAGATCATGGAACAGGGATTCAGTCTTCATTGGATGGAGTTACACTGTCTAGGTGTGCTCCTGGATTCAATTGGAGCATGCATGTCCGGGTATCAATGGTGGCCAGGAGGACATTTGCACAGCTATATAATTGGTGTCCCTTATTTCTGTGTTCCTTGAATATCAGATCTTGCTATGGTAACTAATGCCTTGATTATATCCCAACTGGATTCCTGTAATGCACTATACATAGCGCTATCTTAGGAAACAGCAAGAAGGAGTTCCTAATTTTTTTAAATGACACAGTCTGGTTGCTGACTGGAGCAGATTATGGGTGTCATACAACCCCTTGATGAAATAGCTGAAGTGGCTGGTGATGGCTGGTAATCACTTTCTGGGCAGAATTCAAAGCCCAGGTTCTCACTTTGGGTCCAGTATAGTGAGTCCAGGTTACTTGTAAAATGATATATCCCCTACAAACCTGCCCGTGCTCTGAGATTTGCAGGGAAACTTTTGCTCAGTCCCACTACATGAATATTTGGTGGGAACAGTGAAGGATTCCTTCTCAGGATACATCTACACAAGTAACTAAACTCAGGTCCAGTCCGAAGCATGGCTGGTTTGAACCAGCCCCAGATTCTGCTGAGGTGTTTACACTTCTTCACACCCAATGGCAGTGGTGGGAGTGATGAGGAGATATTGGAAAAATAGATATTTATTGATTGATTTATACATAAAATTATATGTATTTTACAAGCACTGAAATGCATAGGATTTTCAAGTTCTCTCTCTCTGTAAGAAACTTAAGCTGGCAAAACAAGCAGGCTACCTCCAAGGCATGGCAGGAGGGAGGAGAAGGGGGGTATGCATTCCAGGAGAGAGATAAGCCTGTTGGAGAAGCCCGTGCTAGGAGTAAGCAGCATCTCCCCTCTCCTGACATCTCAGAGTGGCCCCTTGATTGATGACTGCAAAAATGCCTGCTCTTCAGCTAGACACACAGACATGCTTTTTGCATGTTGGAGGGTGAACCTGATATTCTTATGATGCCAGGATGACGTAGGAATGATGATGATAGTATGAAGACGTATGTTCTTTGTTTCATTCCGATTGGAGACTATAAAAGGGCAGTCCGCACCTTGATCAGAGCTCTGGGTTTTGCTTTTGGGACATGAGTCCACCAGAGTCGCCAGCTGGAAATAAAGCCGTACCTTTTCTGATCTCCAGAAAGGATGTCTCTTGGTAAATATCTCTCCTTTCCTCAAAACCTATTTCCCTGCCACTTCAGGAGCAAAATCCTTACTGTCCAGCAGGTTCAGTAAAGACCTTTTTATTGATGGAGGAATTTGGTTTTGATAAATAGCAGCTGATGGAGTTTTTAATGGGAGTTGTTTTTAAAGCTGCTTTTAGGTTGTATTGTTAACTTGCATTTTAAAAATAGAAATTTGCTTTAATTTTTATAAGAAGAGGGGTATTTAGTTGTATAGTGTTTTAAAATGGTTGTACCCCATCTTGGATAACTGTGTTGGCAAAATGCAGGTTTCAAATGAAATAAATAAATAGGAAACAGCTGTGTGAGCACATACCCTTGCATGCCAGCTCTTAAAGATGCAGAATAACGCCAGTCAGGATTGGGTGGTTTTGGCTGTAAAACAAAAAAGGAAGAAATCAATATTAATTTCCATTTAAACACATTTTAAAAGCAATGTAATATCATCTAGAGTTCCAGCCAGAGTTCATCCATAGTTTGTAGTTCTTGCCAAAGAATAACATAAATATATTTATTTTTAAAATGCAAGAGGACTGCCTAATTCTTTGCATTATATAGGTCATAAAGATCTTTTAATAAATATATTAAAGCAAAGTCAAGCAACATCTTGCCATCCAGCACTGTTTTTTAGCCCCAAGGATCCAATGTGGGCAACCACAAGCCAAAAATGCATTAAAAAAAAGAATGAGGAAGTAAACAGAAGCCTATTTCTGGGTTCATTACTTCTTTAAAAAAAAACTTTTGTGGGCTCCACAAATTCAAATTCAAACTTGTTCCCTCTAGGAATTTGCTTAATTCTCTAATACTGTGGTTCTCAACCTGTGGGTCCCCAGGTGTTTTGGCCTACAACTCCCAAAAATCCCAGCCAGTTTACCAGGAGTTGAAGGCCAAAACATCTGGGGACCCACAGGTTGAGAATAACTGCTCTAATACAACTCTGTGCCTTTCTGCACTGCCATAATAATCCAGATTATAAAAGCAGATAATCCACATTATCTGCTTTGAACTGGATTATCTGGGTCTACACTGCCATATAATCCACTTCAAAGCAGATAATCTGGATTTTATATGGCAGTATAGAAGGGGCCTCTATGATGACTTCCAAGGCAAGTGTACCACAGAATCACCTGGAGGATCTAGCAAGTTCCTACATAAACAGTTGGCCACAACGTAAATGGATTGCAGATTTGGGCCCCACTATTACAGGAGTCTTATTGTACTTTTCTATCTCATTATTATTATTATTATTTGGAAACGCCTTCTATTTTGCTTCATTGGCCCATTTGCAGCAACAGGGTCTGTCCTGCATGCTTGACATCTACTATAACAGTGTGATGCTTCCCTTAATGCAGATAAGTGTATTTATCTGCATCAAGGGCAATATCTTTAATACAGGTATTAGTGATTTAAAGGACAGTCTGCATATAGTCAACAACTCTTGCTACCCTGGCCACATCCCAGTCTCCCATTTTTATCAAAGCATTTTGTGTCATTTTTTTAAAAAAAAAATACTATACACACACCTATCTATCCAATCATTGCTACTCTTAAATATATTGTAGTCCCTTTACTTAGATTCTATACATACTAAAAAAGCTACAACTGTCTAACAAAAGTGGTAGCTTTCTTAGTGGTAGAAGTGATCATGATATTGTGAAAGAGAAACAGGGTTAGGTGGGTCAACTAGTGATGATGGGAAAGCCACAGTCATCTTTGCTCCACTCACAAATATAACGTGGAATGAGATGTTTTTAACACTAAAGGGTCTGTAGAGTAGATTTGCCAGATCTCAAGGCTTGGCCCTAGGTTGCTAAGATAGGATTCTCTTCTCTGGACAAGAATGAAAAATCTCTGGGCAAGAGAGCTGCCTTTTGTAATTTGCTAGACTCTGCAAGATTTGGTTTTTTAATTATTTCAATGCTGTATTCTACGTAACTGTACCTGATACTTAATATAACTTGCTTAGTAACTTCACTGCAGCCTGTCCTTCTAAACATCAGGATCTGCTTCCTATGACACTGCAAAGTCCCCCATCTCGGGGTTTAACTCAGCATTTGGGCTTAGCATACACCTGACCTGACTTGGTGGCCACAATGTGGATGAAGGAAACCATACACCCTTCCCTGTTTCTCCCACTTTACCTAATTATCCCTTCATGCACTTTCTTCCCTACTATAATAATAATAATAATAATAATAATAATAATAATAATAATAATAATATCTTTACTAATAATAATAATAATATCTTTATCACTACTCACTTTGGACACATAAAATTAGGGATTTTTTGTTTACAAAAAAGATTTAATATAACAGACCACTAGACCACTAGATACTAAAATCGAAAAAGAAAATAATAACCAAAATTTATGATAATTTGCTAACTTGGTCAACGGAAAAGGAAGAGGTTAAAGTTTGCATGATTAAATGGGTGGAAAATCTAAGGCAGTGGTTCTCAACCTGGGGTCCCCAGATGTTTTTGGCCTACAACTCCCAGAAATCCCAGCCAGTTTACCAGGTGTTAGGATTTCTGGGAGTTGAAGGCCAAAACATCTGGGGACCCACAGGTTGAGAACCACTGATCTAAGGAAACCAATTCAATTCAGGGAATGGGAACAAATGTGGAACAAAAAATTAAAATATACTTACGCCATGGACTTAAAAGAGAACTGGTTAAAAATGTTCCACAGGTGGTATACATCACCCAAACAATTAGGTCATATGTATAAAAATATTTTGGACAAATGTTGGAAATGTTGTGACCAGGTGGGCACATTCTTTCACATGTGGTGGACTTGTAAGGTAACCTTGAGGTATTGGTCTCGAATCCACGAGGAGACACAAAAAATCCTAAAGAGGAACTTTAGAAAGAAACCTGAATATTATCTTCTAAGTTTCACAGACTGGGAACTACAGCTTAGTGAAAATGAAGATAAATGTTTACATTTATTACAACGGAGCCCCCGGTGGCGCAGTGGGTTAAACCCCTGTGCTGGCAGGACTGAGGACCGACAGGTCACAGGTTCAAATCTGGGGAGAGGCGGATGAGCTCCCTCTATCAGCTCCAGCTCCTCATGCGGGAACATGGGAGAAGCCTCCCACAAGGATGATAAAAACATCAAATCATCTGGGCATCCTCTGGGCAACGTCCTTGCAGACGGCCAATTTTCTCACACCAGAAGCGACTTGCAGTCTCTCAAGTCGCTCCTGACATGACAAAAAAAATAATTATTACAACAGCGGCATGAATTATCTTTGCAAAAATGTGGAAACAGGAGCAAATACCAACTCTTGAGGGTTGGTTAGATAAGTTGAGAGAAATAAAAGACATGGACGAACTAACTTTTTTATTAAGAAAGAACACTGGAAACATATTGAAAAGGACTGATTGGGGTCTCTTTCGCAACTATGATAATAATAGCAGAGACTAAAGATAAATACAGAATTAATATTTAGATAAGGACTACAAAGTTAAGAAGAGAAGAATCCATGAAGATGGAATGGAAGTCAAGTTTTTCCTTCTTTTTTTCTTTTCCCCCCCTCTTTCTCTCTGTTCTATTTCCTACTTTTCTATCTTCTTTACAATATTCCCCCACTTTCCATGTAGTCATATATACTTTCAATAAAAACTAATTAAAAAAACATAACAGACCACTGAAGTCTGATGGGGAAGATGTTCAGATTCCCACATTCACCTGTACCTTTATGTAAAACAACACTGGAGCAAAAGGCAGTCAGTGAGTGACTGAACAAGACGATAATCTGGAGCTTTCAGTTGGAGGCAGAAGGTCCCATAGCAAGGAGCAAGGAGTACCTTGCATGCAAAATTGTGGTGCAACACAAAGAGCCACTTACCCTGAAAGTACTGAAAAGGGTATTTTCAGCGTAGGCTGTGGCTGGCGTCAAATGGGAGCCCAGAAGCAATGCTGGGGCAGCCCTGGAGCAATTGGGTCAACACCGCTCAACTTCACAAGAATGGCAGAGCTGCCTCAGAACAAATTATCAAGGAATACAGAAAAAAAACAGAAGGCAATGCAACTCTGTAGAGAAAGGAATAAGTGGAGAAAAATAACTGCATAGAATGAAGCAGAAGATCCATAGTTTTCTGCTGCAATGCATACGCAATGTTTGCCTTCTTGCCAGAAAACACCACAAACTACATCTGAAACAAGTGCAAATTGGTAGCTTTCTTGGAAAAGAAGATCAGTGTGCTGCAGCTATGGGTTGTGTCTCTTCAATGCATCAGGGAGCAGGAGGATTTCCTGCATAGGACACATAAAGAACTGATCATACAAAAACAATGGAAGAAACTGCCAAGAAAAATGAAGCTGCTTGTAAGAGTGAAGAAATACCCTGGAGGAAAATCATCATCAGGAGCAGACTATACAGAAGGGATTCAGAATGAAGCAATTGCTTTCTACATCTTCCAGAGGATAGCAACAGTGAAGATGCCCAAACAGGAAACCAGCAAAAAAGGGACACCACATGTCAAGAAAGGTGTCAAGGTAATCACCAATCACAAGAAAATTAAGGTGCTGGTAGCTGTGGAATCATTGCTCGAGGTATACGGAGACCTGTGTACCATCCTGACAAGATGAATCTTGTCTTCCTTGAACATGCACCTGGGATGTCACTGACAATGTGCCAAAACTTATCAGTACCCCCCTTTTCCGAATGCAAGTGAGTACCAATGACATAGCCAAGAAAAACTTTGAAAAGATCACCTCTTACTATGAAGCTTTGGGCAGGAAGCTGAAGGAGTGTGAGGCACAGGTGGTATGCTTGTCAATTCTGTCAGTGAAGAATATCAGACTGTATAGGAAAACCAACATGCTAAATGTAAAGAACAGGCTATGAAGATGGTGTAGAGAGAAGTGTGACCTTGAAGGAGCTGGGGGTGGCTATGGTGGACAGGGAGCTCTGGCATGGATGGTCCATGAGATCACGAAGGGTCGAAAGCGACTGAACAAATAAACAACAAACATTGTATCCTACATTTATCCATTTTGTTCCTTTTGGCCCAGCTCTCTAAATGGTTAAGGTCATTTTGAATTCAGTTAAGAGCATCTGGATAAAAATAAATGGAGAAATAAATAAATGCAATATTGCAGTAAGAGTTTACTTCGGGCCATTAAAGCAAACAAGAAGTGGAAAATGATGCTTTTCAGAAACAAGTCTCAGTCATCTCTAGGGTGCAAGAAACAGTAGTTATGGGACACTTAATTCGCTGGATATCTCCTGGGAGGAATAACTCTGCTCAGCATAAGTTCTCCAACAAATTCCTGATGTGCCTTGAAAACAAGTTCTTATTTTAAAAAAGAAGAAAGAAAGATGGGATCAGCAATCCTTGATTTTTATTCTAACAAATAAGAA